TGAAATGAAACTAAGCACAAAATACATACAGCACTTAGAAAGCAGAATCCTAAAAGCCCTGGACAGGTAAGAACCACTGTCACTTGGGACTAAAAATGTGACAAGTGTGCTGACAACCTTCCAAAGGGCATTCTGGTATTTTATTATTGTGTTATGTTTGCTAATATTTGTCCCCTGGCGTTTTTATTTCAGTGTGATGCTACCTATTTAGGTGCTGGGCAGGATGACAGCTCACAAAATTTGCTAAATCAAAAGAAGGAGCACCCATACTTTTCAATTATCTGGACTTAAGAAATTTCAACTATATGGCTTTTTGAGAAGTTGAACAAAGTCAACATCACACCTGGTTTTGGGGATTTGTTTTTTTAATCAATTAGGAAAATACTTCCTTTTCACTGAGGGGAGAAAAATAAAAGGAACCTCACTTTTACCACAGTAGAGGCTAGTTTCAGACCAGTGGGGCAAGCTAGAGCAGAGGCTTCATGAGCTGAGCATGTTGCACTGGACTGTCCCCAATCTACACGCATGATCACAGCGCTAGAGGCAGAATGACTCCTTGAAAGCCAAAAGCTTTCCACCTGCTGCTCAATTTGACAGGGCTGCAAGCTCAGGAAATAGCCCATTTACTAACCCTGGCTTCTCTGCACCTAGTGTTCAGCTCAGCCAGCCAAGTCACTGAAGCCCTAATAGCTGTATTTATCCTTTTGGCAAGTGAGGAGACATGGAGAAAGCAGGGAAGAAAAGACAGAAGGCACCCCAGAAGAGGAGCAAGGAAAGCCACACACACAAATAAAAGGGTGCAGAGCACATTTTGCAGAAGGCAGGAACTGCCCCATCCATTAGGACTTGCTGTCTAAGCAACAAGAGTTGCTGGCAGACACAACTGACCTCTCTGAAAAAAATTGTTTCAATAAATGACAGGGAGAGAAAAATAAAAGATGAAAAGGAAGAGAGACATCAAAAGAACAGGAGCTATGCAAAAATACGAGGCAAGAGCAGAGGCCAGCTGTCTTCCTCGTCTATGGAAATGTGAAGCACATGCCAAGGGAATAGCAATAGTGAAGGACACCTGAGGACATTTGCTCCTTACAGACCTCCAGAAGCATTCCTCCAGGAGAGAGTGACATCCTGTCATTCCCCAGGAACCAAGAGACGGCCCAAGAGGGAGACAGGACAGCCACTGGAGTATGCACAATCTGCTACTGCTGTTTGCAAGATGCTGCACTTGCCAAACACGTTTTCATGGAAGCCATCTCACCCCAAATTTGTAACATAAACAGTTTGGGGGTTTCTCTTGAATTCAGGTGAAATACACCCTTAAAAAATAACACCACCGATCCTCCAACAGATCATCCTAACACGATGCATGTCTCATTTCCTACATAATAAGGAACAAATCATAAAACCTGGTATTTATGAGCTTGGACTTGCAACCAACTTTCACTTCATATCCATTTGAAGACAAGGGGTAGATCCCTCCAAAGTCTCTCCTGATCTACACTCACAAATGCCACTCTTGCTCAAAGTCCCAAACACTTCCCATGGGAACACTACAGTACCCTGGCAACAGGGCGAGATTGAGCCTGCAGTTATATGAACATGCAAAGGACAGAGGAAGCTGCCATTCCAGTGCCAGCAGTTTCTAGTTAACCTCATGTTCCAAAATGTATTGCTATTCCAAACAAAAATATATAAATAATGGCAGCAAACGTAAAAGTGTTTATAAAAACATGCCTCTCCACTGTTAGTCAGTGGCCTATTCATTAGTTTTTGGACATCGCGAGAAATAATCTCCTGCCCTCCAGTGAGACAGAAATGTGGGGAAAAGCTTTTGTATCTGTTGATCAAGCAAAGGAAAACCTTTTTCAAGCTGCCCTTCTGACTCCAATGTATCAACAGTTTGTCCCCCCTGCCCCATGACTACATCTGACACCACCGCCCTGGCTTATATCACGAGTTGAAAAGTGCTAGTCAGACTCCAAGATAAACCTGTCAATAGCGAGGCACAGACACTCGCATTCTTTCCTACCTGCTTGTGAGTGTCAGCTGTTAGTCTGGGAGCAGTCCCTTGAAAAGCTTTTACTGAGGGAGAAAAGGAAAGGGGGATGCAGAAGGCATTTCAAACAGGAAAGAAATCAGGAAGGGGAACCCCACAAAGACTGCAAAGAGAAAATAAAATTAAAAACCCCACAAAAACTGTCCCCATCAGGTCCTTCCAACAACCTTCTTTATCAGAGGTTCATTGTCAATCAATTAGCCAAGGCAGCAGGGGTCTGTAGGAAGGGGGGTAGCTCAACAGACAATGGTCTGCCCTGTTGTATTACTATTTAATCACTTTTCCTAAATAAATAAAGCAGCCCTGAGGTGCTGTCATGTCAAGGGAATTTATAACAAAAAACCCCTTCATTTTTCATTGGTCATTACTTTTCCTTCCCTCCCACCCCTGCAGGACTAGAGAGGGTTATTACTGTAGCCTTAAGTTCCATCTTTGTGTTGCTTGCCTTTGATTCCCACTCGGACCTTGCCACTTTCTGGCACTAATTTGTCAGGCCGAACAAAGGAGGGATTTGTACCTCCTGTAAGGTCTCAATTAGGAAAGGCTTCTGCTGTATTATGTGCCATTGGGACAGGACACAAAGACGGTAATTACAGGAATTTGCACTAAATGGCTGAAGAATTCACAGCAAAACTTTTCTTCCTCCCCCCTCCTCATCCTTTTCCAAGCTTACCCCTCCCAGCAGCCCTAGGGAAAACCGCTCTCAATGCCTGCAAGATGTAATTACCAACAGCAGGCCCCTTAGGTTAAACAGCAGCCCATGCCAAGGGGAGCAGCGCAAACTACCTGCAGGGAGCAAGGTATAAGGAGAGAGTCTCAGCTTGCTGGTGTGCCTCCAAAGGCTCCTCACACAAACTTTTCTGAGCCAGACAAGTTTCCCCAGTTTCTCCCAGTTATAATTACAATTATTCATTTCTTTGTGCCGTGGTAACAGCTACAAGTTCGAGCCGACTCTCAAAGACCAGCTCAAAGGGACTCTGGCAGTCGGCAAAGGGTCTGTTCCCACAGGAAGTGCTGCGCATCCCCACCCTCAGGTGCACGGAATCCCAGTGGCCGGCTCCTCACAGCCTCCCCACCACTCACATTTCTTTGCACAAGTGTTTGTTCAGTTTTGCAGCCTAAAAGGAGGCCACAGGAGCACTGGGAATGCCTCACATATGGAGGAAAAGACTTCATGCAACCCAGCCAGAGCAGCTTATTTCTGTGAGGAACACATGAGTGTGTGCAGATCAATCATCCCATGTTTGGGAGAGGAAATCCATCCTTTCCCACGGAAAAGTCTGCTCCCATGCTACATAATTAACACAAGACTAAAACCTCTTTCACATTGGACACATGCATTTTGTTCCCATCCCAGGGCCTGGTCCTATTTTTGAGGAGGTCACTGGTAATGCTCGCTTGAAACTCTCCTGGAGCTCAGTAAAACGATGAAACAATATTATGAATTTTTCCTCTACTGAGCTTTGAAATAAAAGAAATTAGGGACAGGATTAAAGTTTTAATGTTGTCTGGGACATTCTCTTAAAAGGAGGCTGTGAATTCTGCTGTGCTCTTGAGTTTCACAAGGCTCTCTACTGGGTAACACACTGGGCTAGATCCATCTTGGGGATATTTATTTGACCCATTCCCCTACACAGTCTCCCTGAAGTTTTCACTCTCACAACTACCCTTAAAGGTAAGACATGACCACTGTCCAACAGTGTTCAGGTAATAAGGGTTATCATAGGACTCCGGCACCTTCAGTTTCAGCAGTAGTTTGGCACATAATTACTCCCAGAAAAAACTGATGTGAAGTCATACAAAGAGGATGTGGCCAAGAACAGAACTGAGTTCAGGCAGAGGCCCAGGTGTTGTGACTAAATCACTAACTGCAGTGAGGACAATCTTCATGATGCTCCGGCTACCAGGTGGGTGTCATGCACTGTGGAGACATGAGCAGGAACACTGCCTGTGGGTGACTACTATAGAAGGACAAATCCAGCTGCACCCACAGCAAGTTCCAAAGGCAACCCAGCATTTCTGGGGCTCAGGTCTTCCGTGGAAGGGATTCAGGCCTGCCAGCAGGTCCTAGAACCTCACAGACCCCCACTGCAGAGCCACGTGTGGTTCCAGAGCGACAGGAGACCTCCACATCAGATCCCCATCTCAGAGCACAGTGGGGAGGAGGCAGGACCCTCACAGCTCCCATAACAAAAGAGGAAAACCCTCCAGAAAAGCTGTTTCTGATAAAGCTGGCAACTTCCGAGTGAGTGTAACTAAAGTCAGCTAGAGAGTATAGCTTACGTACAAAGTGTTCAAATTTGCTCCACAATGTTGCCATTGCTAAAGTGAAAGGACAAAGAGCTATATCTACATGGGTCCTCTATTTTCACTTCATTCCCAAACTAAATAAAACCTTGATCTAGCCTAGGACTAGAGTCAGCAGTCAAATGAACTGAAATTTTCAATTAGATGCAGAGCCTTAAGATCATGTTTTCATCCCTACCTCAAGGGAAGAACCAAGCAGATGAGCTTATGGCTGAACCTCAATGCTGTAACACAAGTTGCCAAATGCCAGTGTTTGAGGGAAGCATAAATGTTTTGAGAAGTCTCCTCAGAAGGCCCAGATCTAAAACTGAGTTCCAAAAATTACTTGGAGGCACACTAATAAAGGGAAGCAAAAGTACTCTAAGTTGGAAAATTGCATGATGTCCAGAACTCAAATCCCTTTGATTCTGGACCACCTTTCCACTTTTCTTTCTGAAACAAGAAAACCGCTGAGCCACCCTGTAAGGCCCATGTAGTGCTGTATGTGCAAAGAAAGGCTGACACACCAAAGTGTTTATGGCCATAGTGAGATACAGGGAACGGCTGTGTGCTGCTAAACCACAAACATGCTCTTCCAAGTGATTTTGTTTTTGTGCAGAAGGGAAGTGGGTGCAGGTGCTGCAGCCTGGTTGCTTACCTGCACACTTGAAGCTCTGAACTGTGAGCCCTCTCTCTAGAGACAGTGTGGTCAGGATGCTCAGGAAGCTGGTGGTCACAGACTGGCGCTTGCTCTTCCTAAGGTCGTTTCCAAAGGGGCGATCTCCAGGTTTGTTCCGAAGCGTGACCTGTGGGTTCTGAGTTAAGCTTCTAGTTGCATTGGCTGCTGCCCTCAGTGCCTCCATCCACTCCTGGGCCCTCTGACGGGTCTCTGCACGCAGGCGGAGGACATCCTGGGGAAAAATGACCTGAAAGCAGGAGTCACAGCCATCCTGAGTATCTGTCTGGACTGACAGGCACACATCGACATTGTAGCTCAGCAGAGGATCTTCATCCAGCCTACCCGGTTGGAATGCCATGAGATAAGACCTGTTCAAGACAAAAGTAAATGCCTTCCAGTTATTCTGGACAGTTAACCTATAAAGAGTCCCTGATTTGAGAATATTTTGGTACTCTTTAGTGTTTTCAGTCAAATTCATGGATAGGAAGAGCTCCATAGGCTTCTCTAACAGTCCATTGGTTTTTGAAAGGTCACTGTTATTTTCAGGCTTTGGCACATTCTCCAGTTTCTCCTGTGGTCTTGTGAAAACAGGCACAGAAGCACGCACCAGTTCCCAGAGTTTCTGTCCCCAGTCCAAAGCCTCCCATGAGGACTCCGCCTTCAGCTGTAGCTGTGAGTTGTCTGACAGGACAGCATCCACCACTTTGGTTTCAATGCAACCACTAACAGTGACCCTTTGAAAATGCATGAGTGGATACACGGTGGGAAGAGTCTGGTTGCCACTGCTGTCCAAGCAATACAGGTACAGTTTGTATGGGGAGAGCTCAGCGTAACAGGTTTGCCAGTAGCTGCCATTGTCTCTTCTAATTTCTAAGTATCCCTTCTTCAGAATATTTGGGAACGTGGGCTTGTGTTCTGGAGGAAACAAAATGAGAATGTTACCATTAAGTCTTTTTAATTAGTCATTTCAAACTGCTATGTCATTCTGGCTTATACATCTCTCCTACCCATACATGATGTATCTGGAGGATAGGATCACAGAACAGTGTTCACCCAAAAGGTTATAATCATCCAACACAAGCACTGACTCTAAATTTGAGCAAATGAGAATACAGCACTATTTTATACAGAGGTACCAAAATACTTTACAAAAGGGGGACACAGAAAGAGAGAGAGAAACAAAGCAATTTTCCTGAAATTATCCAGGAGAATAGCAACAGAAGAACTCTCCAATTGTCCCAGAACCTAGTTCAGAAGAGTTCAATATTATCAAGTAATTTATTGCCAATTAAACAGATTTCAACAGTGAGAAACACATACAAATTAAAACGCTATCTTCCCCCCTCTTTCCCAGGCTCAACTTCATGCTTACACAGACAATCCCTCTACCTCCCCTCTGTCCCAAGCAGCACAGGGCGAAGGGGATGGGGGGGCTGTGGTCAGTTCCTCTTGCTGCTCCTTCCTCCTCACCCTTTTCCCCTACTCCAGTGCAGGTCCTCTCCAGGGGCTGCCGTCCTTCAGGATAAGCTACTCCTGTATGAGCACTCCATGGCCATAGTTCATTCAGGAAGTTTCCACCTTCTCCAGCATGGAGTCCTGGATGGGGCTGCAGGGAGATACCTGCTCCGCCATATTCTCCCTAGGGGCTGCAGGGAATCCCTGCCTCTGGGCCTCTGGAACTGGCTGGAACTGCACCCTGGCACTGCGCCTGGACTTAGCCAGGACACAGGGAATGGAGAACTGTGCCCAACAGCAGCAGTTTCTTACCACAGCACAACCCCGGACCAGAACATTTTGCACAGCTCCATTTAATAGCAGGAGCTTTGCTGATTTATGAGAATCGGGCTCAGGACCAGCAGACATGACCAAAAAAGAAAAGCCAGAGGCTGTCGGCCTCAAGCACGTACATCGAAGCACCTCAGCACTGTAGGTGCTTCAGAGCAGACCCTTTCACAAACCTTGGCTCAAGACAAAATTGAGGGGAATTTTCTTTGTTCCCAGGAAACCAGCCATACACGAGTCACTCTGGCCACCAAAGTGATCCGAATTTAGAAGAAATTACATCTTTTTAATGCTTTTCTGAGTTTTAAAAAAGATTTCCATACAAAATTTGTTCCCATCTGTTTTGCACCACTTCAGCCACCATTAATACATGCAGACATTGTATTTTCACCTTGTGCAGGGTATGCAGCTCTATGCAGTTTCTGTTAATCCCCATATAAATTCAGTGGCATTCAACTGTTTGACACTGACTTTAACACTTGGCACCCCAAAACCACCCAGCCTTGAAGAACAATTCTTACTCCCATTTGATTTCAACTTTCCAGTGAGGGTACCTGTGATGGGTCTTGACTTACAAACAAACAGTGCCAGAATTAATAGGTACAAGTGAAGAGGTTTCTGCCTCCAGCTCCCGTCTCCCTTGGAGACTGCTCTTCCTGACGCAGGAACAAGGTAGCCACCTGGGAACAGCTCCTCATCCACTGCCAGGCACAATTAGGTCAAAACGAAATCAGCATCAATTGACCTTAACACACAGCAGCGTCACAAACTGCAGCAAATACAGGAGCTGTTTCACTCATGGTTGTCAGCCTGAGGGCAGAAACCTTTGAAAGAGGGATAGGGTAGACAGCTGGAGGCACAAAAATATTTTCAGCATCTCAGCTTAACTAGTTACCATGCATGTTAACAGGCCATGCTCTTAACAAGTTTTAGACATGATCACCTCCAAGTATACCTAGGATGTCTTCATTGCAGAGCTAAGAGAACAGAAGCATCTGGGCTTGACAAAGCTTGAAAACAAAAAGACAAAGATGAGCCTGCATAGAAGTTACTGCAAAACCCCATCTGTACTGGGTTTCCCAGCTAATACAGCCAGGATTGCTGGCCAAGCTGCTATCACCACTTCTGGCTAATGGATGAGTCTGTCTGTCCTCCCAGGGGCACAAGGAGATCCAGGGACTATGAGTATCTGTCCCTCAATATGGGGGGGACAGTTGGTATCAGAGGTAGGGGCTTCTGATACCACCTGGTGAGAAAGCAGAACTTGGGCTGTAACCTACAGACTAAGGAGATGCTCCTGTCCTTGGCTGAAAGCATTGCTGTAGTTGGTTACAAGAGTTTCATGTATGAGCAGGAGAAGGATTCAGGATGGCATCAGTGTAAAAAGTTCCAGCTAGCTCTCCAATGAAGACCAACTTTAAGGATTTATAAGGATTAAGTAGACAAAGCTTCAGTTAAACTTAATGAACACACATGAGAATTGCTTGATGCACTTCATGTGAGTATGCAAACCTTACAGGGGTTAAAAAACGGGAGAAGGACGCTAGTTCCCATCCATGCTAACAAAAAGGATGCACTCAGATTTCACTTTGCCAGCTCAGCCTCAGCTTCCCCACATCACCCACATACTCAGAATGGAGCCCACATTTAACACTGTGCTTAAAGCACTCCATACTTTACCCACAAAAATTTACTGCATAGATGACTGAAATTGTAACAGCAATTAAAAATTTGCTACTTTGGCACTAGGTCTGAAAGGGTAGAAAAGAAATCAATTTAACTGTATCTTGCAGACAAATAAGCTACTCAAGAGTATTTCAGACAGATATGAAAACTGAAAGCCTCATCTAAAACTCAAAATGGTAGAGAAAAAGCACACTTTCACAGCCCAAATGGATAGATACACATGCACGCACACACACTAAAAGAGAACTAATTTTGTTCATCGTACATCTCTGGCCCTGACATTCATTAGTATTTCTGCGCTAACTCAAAAGCCATTAATTTCTCTGAAACCCACACTAATCCCTTTGTAGTGCAGATAATGGGCAGCCATTCTAGAGTCATCTTCCTTTTCTATTAATCCAATCAGGGAGGCAGTGCTTCTGCAGCTCCAACTGCAATCTCTCTCGCTTCCATCAAGTACAGATGACAGTTCAAGCTTCTCCATAATAAGACAACTCATAACCTTCCCCCGGCCACCCCTCCTTCATCTGCACACAGGTTTGCTTGTCTTTTGTTGAGTTAGAGAAAGGTTATCTCTCCCTGCCTTTCACAGAGACAGCCCCCTCTCCCTCCTTCGCCCCACTCCTTCCCTTCAAGCTCCCATGAAACAGCTTCCTGGCCCTCGCTCTAACTGGGACAGAACCAGTAGCCAACTTGATTATAATTCAAATGCCTCGTATTGTTTAGGTCAGAGCAATAGATGCTGGCAGAGGCAGGTTGAATCCATATGCTACACATACACACACACTTTACAACCCTCTGCTCCTTTATCTCCTCAGCACGCAGTGTGCCAGATAATACCTTTCCACTCAGAGAGCAAATGCTACCATCTCTCCCATCCACCTTCCAAACAGAAACTGCATCTCTTCTCCTTCCTACAGAGACAGGGGAGTAAATTGAGGAAGAGTAAAAAAAGGGAAATAATCACAGCAAATGGCCCATGCCTGAGCCATTTGGAGTTACAATTTCAAGGGAATGGGGAAGAAGGCAGAGGGAAACAAAGAAAGACTCGGCAGTCAGGGACAGGGCAGTATCTTCTTCAGTGTTTCTCCTCTCCTTTGAGAACTGTCCACTTGTCCCAGCTAGGAACTCTGCACAGAGAACACACCAACCCCTCTCCACACCTGGGTGCTGCTGGTGCAACCAGCACCCCAGGAGAAAGTCCAAATGTTGTCTCAGCACGTCCAGAAGATACATGCTCCTGAAAAACTGACTGTACTTTCACTCCTGTTGGTATCGCAGGAAAACTTGCCCTATTTTCCCACACTGAAACATTTCTGATGACAGTAATACCAAGCAACTTGGAAAAGAGCAGAAGCAGAGATGCCTAGTTTCTGAGGGTTTGCCTCTTGAGATGGCAATCCTCTGGATTCTCTAATGCTCAGTAAGAGTGACTCAGATCTACAACATCCTGTAAATGACTGTAAGAAAATAGTCTTTTCTTCCCACTTATTTTCCCATCTGGTTCTGCAGGTATATCTCTTTCAGGCAAGTATATCTGATTCCACCTGGTGCTGAAATAATGGCCTTCAAATTTAGCCAGATTTCCAGCAGATTTTAGCCAGATCTGGCTTCTACCAATGCCATGTCTTTTCAAGGGACCAGTACAGCAATGAGACTTGTAACTAGGTAGCAGTTTGCATTAACTTACATAAAGAAACAGCATCTCTCCCCACCAGAAGGGCATTCAATCACCTTCCTTAGGCTTAGGGAAAGCAAAAACTTCTTTGAAAATGTTGAACTTGCAAGCTCTTAATTTTAGATTTATGCATTGCTAGTGAGGCTGCCTTAGCTGCTTAGCTCACTGAATGAACTGCTGAAACAGATGGCTAAAGAACCTCAACAAACTACTCTTTATGTCTTTCCCCTCAGGTGTGGCATTGTATGAGAAACTCTGCTGATGCCTACCGGATCCTGGCTGCCCAGCCACTCCATACAATCCTTTTCGCTCCTCTGCAGCAAGTGGAACGCTTGTATAGTGTGCATATCAACACAGTGCCTGTGCCAATGGGGCTGTGGAGAAGGAGACTGGATTCAGTCAAGATACAGGACCAACCCAGAACAGGACTCAGCTCCAACAGAGCCAGAAGTATTATGAGTGAAAAGAGATAGTTACCTACTACCACTACCAGTTAGGAGATGCATAAAACAGCAGTACTTGCAAAAGAGAGAGCATCAAATGAAGATGGCTTTGCTGATGTTTTTATAAATTCACTTAATTCAGCTTTAAAATGTTGGAAGAAAGGGTATGAGAGTTGGCTGACACCACCAAGGGAATGATTGCAACTAACCTGAAAATTCAGTTATGAAAGTCATCACAACATCACTGGAAGCAATCAGCACTGCCCCAGGAATAGAAAACTCTTCATTAGCTTCAAGGAGTGTTATAACTCTGAAGCAAAAATCTC